TGTCAAGAGAACAAGTTGGTCATCACAAACACTCTTTTCCAACAACACAAGAGGCGACTATACACATGGAAATCACCAGATGGGCAATACCGAAATCAGATTGGTTATATTAATCTGATTTCAGTATTGCCCTTCTGGCGGTCACAGCAGCAGTGGAAGCCCGGGAGGCTGAGGAGGCTTTGGATGGGTAAGGCGCTCCTTTTTTTCTTTTAAGTTGTTCTGGGTGGGTTTTGGAGGGTAGGTTTGCGCTGGGCAGGTTATGTTTCCGTGTTGTTTTGTTTTTTGGGGGTGTGTGTGTTGTTTTTTTTGCAGTCCCAGTGTGTGACTTGCTCCAATGTTTATTTTTGGATTTGTTTTTTGTTTTGTTTTTGTTTTGAAGTCCCAGCACGGGACTTGCTGTGTTTATTTTTAATGTTTTCTTTTTGGTATTTTTCTTTGGCCAGAACAGATTAATCGATTTTCTATGCATTCTTATGGGAAATGGTGCTTCGACTTACAAAAATCTCGACCTACGGCCACTGTTCCAATACAGATTAATTTCGTACAGTGGGGTCTTGACTTGAGAACTTAATCTGTATTGGAAGGCGGCTCTCAAGTCAAAAAGTCTGTAACTCAAGTCTCCATTGACCTACAGTGCACTGAAAACTGATTAATCCCGTAACAGGCCGTTTTTGTTCCATTTTGGTTTTTTTCTGGTCTGTAAGTCAAATCTCAGTCTGCAAGTCAAACCTAAATGTTGCGGTCAGAGAAGTCTGTAAGTCAAGCCGTCTGTAAGTCAAGCCGTCTGTAAGTCAAGAGTCCACTGTAATTCGAGGCACCACTGTATCAATGTGGTTTTATAAAGGGAAGACAAATGGACAATCTAACTAGATGAGTTTTAAATATTATATATGAGATAGAAACGGAAAAAAATAAAGGCAACTGTTTTATCATTAGACATATTTAAGGCCCTTGATTGTGTTGAATGGCCAACATTAAAACTATTTATAAAGGGTTGGGGATTTGGTAAAAGATTTACAGGGGTTATTGACCAATTATATTTAGATAATGCTTCAGAGGTAATAGTTAACTAATGGAAAGTGCTGTCCACTTTCACCAATATTGTTTTGTATGGTTATAGAACTGCTAGCTAATGCAATAAGAAAGGATGAATCAATCAAAGGACTTGGAAAAAACATGACAAAATTAAGATTAATTTATTTGCTGATGACTCTTTATTGACTATTAAAAACCCACTAGAAAGTATGGATAGTATTAAAAATCATTTAGAAAAATTTAGGGAAATTAAAGGATTAACTATTAACTGGCAAAAAACAAATGATGTTTAATCATAACAAACATGAACAAGAAATGTTTGTAAATAAATATAGTTTTAAAATTTGTAATTATATTAAATATTTAGGTATAAATATTCAGAAACTAAAATAGCAAAATTTTAATAAATTAAAGAGTGATATTAAAAATAAATTATTGGAATGTTCTATATTGAAACTATTGTGGTTTGGGAGAATCGCTATGCTCAAAATGAAAATATTACCAAAAATTACCTTTTTATTCAGGATGCTCCCAATACACTTAGAAGAAGGTTTAAAATATTGGCAGGGATTAATCAATGCAGTGGTGAATGGTCAGCCAAATGTCTCTCACCTTTCTGGAGTTTCCTACTCAGGTAGGACACTGGATGCTGGTCACCATTCTCATCCTCCTGGCAAAGAACTGCTCCTACCCCGCTGTTAGACGCATCGGTGTAGATGATGAACTCCCGGTAGAAGTCTGGAGCTCGCAGCACTGGATAGTTAATGAGCGCCTGCTTCAACCTCTGGAACGCCTCCTCACAGTCGCTGGTCCACGGGATGCGGTCATCAGTCTTCTTCCTCGTCAGATCGGTCAGCGGAGCCGCAATCTCGCTAAACCTCGGGATGAACTTTCTGTACTAGCCCACCAACCCAAGAAAT